TGCGCTGCCGCATCGCTTTAGTGCAGCTGGCGTGCAATGGTTACCTCATTGAAGCAAGAATCAGTACCGAGCTGGTTTCCTTTTGCGCACACACTTTGGCAACATAGCAAACCAAATAGCAATGGACAGACAGCATACGGTTCTTCCATTCCAATCCACCGCCCAAACTCTGTATATCTGGCTAATCAGCGTATTCACAGGGTTGTAGCAACTCTGCAGAAATGCTAGTCCCAGCAAATATGCAGATTTGATGAGGAATTCCGACGCAGTTCCTCATAAAGTCTGCATATTTTCTGGAACTAGCAATTGAAACTTTGCAGAAATCCTCTCAAATGAAAGTGAGAAGTAAAGAGCAGGAAGGCAGTGTTGAGGTGCGGGAAATTCTCACATTCTGCGGACCACGGTCTCCCTAAAGAACTACTCTCCAGCAAGAACAGTGGCGAAAATACTTGTATCTGAACCACACGAATTTCTGGCATGGTCATCCTTCAATAGCTTCAAGGTTTACACAGAACTCCAGAAACTCACGGTGCTCAGACTCGCGTGGCCAGAACGTCTCTCACCAGCAGCCACAGCAGCACAAACGTGGGTATTTCCTCTCCCTCAACCAACTTCGAACCTGGCTCAGGAAGACGCCAACAAACAAATCGCCAAGAAATGTTGTGGACAAGTTCATCGTAACTACCAATATACTATCTGGCGATTGAATTCTTCCCATCCATACTTTCTTCTCTATATATTGAATTTCCGCGGAAATGCGTACATATGTGAACGTTCTCCAACGTTTGGTATCCAAGGCCTTCCAGGGTGATCACACGCCAGTGTGCTATATTTGCGTTACCCTTGAGACGTCCGACACTTATGCTTGGAGCTCTGCGCACTCTTGGACCCGCAGGTGGTCGGACGTCTCCGGCGTGAAGAAGGCAAACCTATGAAACAAGAAGCCCGTCGAAAAGTTGAAGCTCCAGGGGAGAACGTCCCCACCTTTCCACACCGAACGCAGTTAGCCCGGAAGCCCCAGTCTTGGGCCGCGGACGGCTCAGCGTCTGCTCCCCGACACCAACCACCGCTGGTTGGCCATGGCTTCAGATAGCGCCGCCCTAGATGGGCTGCACACAAAGCCTTACGCGCCACGCGTTACGCAGGACGCTTTACGAGGTACACGGTGCATTTGGACAAGCTGACCGGCCGACGACCGTCGGCGACGCGACGCCTCACGAGACTCTGCGCCTCTTTCGTTGTTTGTCTTTATGCATCGCCTTTCGAGGCTGCAGGGAGAGAGGAGGTCAGGCCCTGTGCGGCAAAACCCCGCCTCCCCGCGGGCGGGCCTCCCATTGGCGGCAATTGGTGGCGCCTCGATTGGAAGCCCTCACTGTCGCCCGGGCCGCACAGGGACAGCGTGTGTGCCTGTGGCCACAAGGGGCCAGGCTGGAACAAAGCCTGCTGTGCCGCGATTGGAACGGCGACGTCTTGGGTGGGGGCCGCTCGACGCCAAGCGCCTTCATCGCGCACGGCCCCACGCCTTTTTGACTGGCTGAGCCGCCAGAAACGCCTTCGGCCGCGACGCCTCTTGCGCCGTTGTTGTCGTTGGATTGGCAGACCCTGCGGCCAAGCGAGGCTGTGCGGCAAAGACGTCAGTTCGCTTTCTCTGCCTGGTCGGACGCCTCGTGGGCGGCGAGCGGTTGGCAGGCGATGGCGCCATAGCGCTTTAGACACGTGGCACATACAGCATATATGGCCAATAGCCTGCTGATTGGACAAGGTTGAAAGTCCGTCCGGTTGCAGCATGGGTGGCACACAATAAGACCACATACCATGTTCCGTGGGATCAAATCGCAACGCGGAAAAATAGCCACACACCCACATTTTTTTCCAATATTCTTCCATACGGTGGGCCGCGTCACCACAGCCTTGCGCAACAAAGCGTCTGCAGCATTACGGCACCAATTGCTGTTCACCAGGAAGAACGCTGTCCTGATTTTGTGCACTTGACATCGATCTGGCTCGAACCCAGTGACCTTTTCACCCCTCTGGAGAGAAACTTGGATTCGCTTACGCTTTTAGGGTCCTCAAGAAAATGGACCACAAATTGGCTCCAAAAATGATGGCATCAACGCCAAATGGCAGTGATGCTACGGGGGCGTCCGGAACGTTCTAAACCATTAAAGACCTGGCTTGGAGCAACAACGGACTGTTCTTTGATGCCGACAATGGCCATCAAACCACTCGGACGCATTGGGCAACAGCGAGGCGGGCGCGCCTCCCTCCTGTCAGACAAGTGAACAGGAGGTACGCTCTCTCCCTCCCAAGCGAAAGTTTCCGTGCAGCGGTTGTCGATCTTGCTCTGCTGAACCCCCGCTGCTTTGCAATCCTTCGTCCAACAGCAAGGAGCCGTGAACACCACCCACTTCAGCTCTTGCCCAAAGGCTTCTTTTCCGCCACGGAGTTGGGATGCGGGTTGTTGTGCCCGCACAACAAGAACGGCCTCGTGGTCTGCATCTTCAACACCCTCCAACGCCTCAAGGATGGAACACCAAGCTGTCCCAATGGCACTGGCAGGACCTCGCCAGCGGCGGATGCCCATGCATCATGCGTGCCCCACATTGCTGCAATCCTTGAGGGTGCAGATGTTGAGTCCAACACCCCTGGCTTTAGCTACTGTATCATTGCAGTCTGCGGGTGAGGAACGCCTCTCCAAACCAGCCCTCATCCCACTGAGGTGCGCAAAGTTCAGCACCCCTGCCACTAACTTGATGAACATGGTGGATGTGCAATTGACAGCTGCTTCAGAGGGAGGGTGAGAGGCCCGCACACTGTGCGCAAGTGAGTGCTCCGTGCAAACCTGCATGAAAACAGTCCCTGTGGCGCCGTCCACATAGCGCACCGAGCACATTGTGCATGTATGTGCCAGCTACTGATCCTGTTAAGATGCGTGCTGCAGCGCCCAACCTACAGGCCTTCGTCTTACCCTGAATATCTACTTCATATTACCAAGTCTGCGGGCATCCAGCGTCATGCCATATCCCACAAGAGGGGATGCCTGGCTTGGCGCTTGTATTCCCTGGAACCCAGCACACTGGGCGCCCAGCCTCAGGCTAGAAACCTGCCTGGGTGTCCATGGCACACATGCGCATTTCTGTCATAGCAATTCAGCTCAACAAAACAGAGTTGTTTGCCAACTCTTCTATCATGGTGTTCCGCGGCTCAGGCAGTCCATCAACAGTGCATTCCAGGCTTGCCACTTGACAATCTAGACTTCTGGATAGGAGTGCCATGCACAGCCAGTGGAAGACCCATGTCAGACACCGTATGGGCATACAGATGGCCATGCGCCGAGTGGTGATGCCCATTAATGCAGTCCAATCGGTAATTCCTCTTTTTCACGCCAAACCGGCATCAAAAACGCTTAAAACCACTCACACAGCTTCCACGAGGCACAACTGCCGTACAGGTTGCGTTTTCTGCAGTTTCTCGAGCTTTACGGCATTAACGTTGCCTTTTCTGCTTAGCGCAGATGTGGACATTTTGGTTGACGTGCCAGGTGATCCGTTTCTCAGTGGTCTGCCTTGCTACTCTGCTCGTTGAATTGGGGGTGCCTACTTCGCTTCTAGCAACGCTCATCGGCTGTCCATGCCAGCTTACAACCGGTACAGATGTTGTCGCGCTTACCCAATCGCTAAGTGTCAGTCATGTGTCACTTATTGAGTGAAGCAACAACACATGACTAATGGCGAGCTCAGTGGTGCATCTGTTGACATTTTTTGTTTCACAGCGTCAAGCAATGTCCTTTCTGGACCCTTTGCAATCACACCCAACCATCTCCCGTCAGTATCCAAGTTTTGCAGTGTATCACCAGTCTCAAGCCTGTTGTGGAAGTGCAATGCAATAGTGAGGTGCAGAACACCGCCGGTTACGTCCAACTATCTGCACCCGTTTCAAAGCTTGTGGCCTCACTCTCGCAACCTGCCCAAGCAAAGCAAATTCCAACGCACCAAGCCTTCATCGTGAATATCATGGTTACAACCCATCCCTTGTCTTTCTGTACAATTGACTGCAATAAGTTCTCTTCCGCTTGCCCACGCCACTCACACCCCCCCACCCCCCCCACACAATCCCAACAAGTCTCGGAACCCTGGACAATGGCAAGAGCTTCCCACATGCAGCTGGGGAAGAATAAGAATGTCATGTTCAAAACTAAAGGAAACCAACAGAACTGAAATATGGCCCACACCAAGACACAGCGTGCATTGCCAGACAGGCTGCATGGCAAGTCAAACTGAATTTTGCAAGCCACCTGCCCAGTGGGAACGACTAATCTGTGGCTAAGAATACCAGGAAAGGCAGTCTTCCAGCCTTGGGCAAGTCGGTTGTTCAGGGCAGTATCATTTATCTCTCTATCCTACCCTTACTAACCAACTATGACCTGTTGATCTCCACCCCACCCCTGCATAGTCAACCCTTCTTATATCGTCAACATTTTGCATGAACTGCAGTTTTCGATCCAGTCCCTTGCTGCTGTTGGCCAACAAGGAAAACTCGAACTTGTTTCTCATGTTAACGAAGTCAAATGCTTCAGCGCCCTTCATGACTTATCTGCTTTGTTGGTGTCCCTTTGCCTCGGTTTCCGAATTGAAACTGAGTGGGCAACCAGCTAACCCTGCATTGCTTCCTGCACCCGCAACATCGGTGAGCAGCTATATTGCATTATACCCAAAAAGTCGCTTGTGCAGACATTGCCACATATGTCTACAGCGATGTGGTCTCCTGAACTTGTCACTTCTGCCCCGCCCCTGCCCCTCTTCTCAGTTCGACACCGCAGCTCTGCCCATTTCATCCCGGATCAACAATCCGTCCACAGTGCCACAGCAATAAAAACCCTTGTGGCTACCACAGTGTGGCCCGTGGGGCATCGAGAATAGTGCGTTACTCACACACCTGGAAGGGGCATGTTGCGCCCCACACTGGCACTGCATTCGTTGTCTACACCATTGGATAGAAATTCATGAAATCAACGAACTGCGCCCCTCGCCCAGCTGGCCCTCTGGGACCTTGTCGCCAGTGGCTGCCGGCTGCCCTTCCTGCCCCGTGAAGCTGGGGGCCCCCAGCCAGCCCTGGCTCCACGCCGCGTCCAGCGACTGCCAGGACCCCTGGGTCGCTCGGGACGACGACCTGGCCACCAGCTCCGTTTCTGCCTCCGAATCTGCTCCCCCCGACGGCCACGCCCAGCCCACGTGGCCGAAGCCCAGGGACGTGTAGGACCTCGTTGCCCGGCGCGCCGACTGAGATCCCGTCGACGCCTGCGACTCCGATTCCGACGGCGCGTTGTGCTGGCTCAGCCCCGACGCCGTGCTGGACCACTCCGAGGGGACGTCCCCCTCATCCTCGTCGTCCTCCTCGTCCTCCTGCCCGCCTCCGTCCGCGTCCCTGAGCCTGATCTCCACCACCACCCTGGGCACCCCCCCCTTGACCTTGTCCAGCTGGTCCCGGTTCAGCACCAGCAGGCCGCTGTCCGGCACGTACGACGTGTTCTCCCAGGTGTGGAACAGGCACTCACGGCCCCCTGCGGCGCTAGAAAACACCTGCAGGGTGAAATCCCAGTCCAGCACGAAGTCCGTGGGCAGCGATTCACCCCCCCCGTCCCGCCCCTGCCCCGCCTGGTCGTCAGAACCTTGGCATCCGCCATGGCTGCATTCTGGTGCTGGCCCAGGCTCGTCGGCATCGCCGCGGCCGTCCTCACTGGGCTCCCCGTCACCTGGCATGCAATCCCACTGCGCCCGCACGCCAGCACTCCACTCCGCGCTGCTATCGATGGCCCCGCAGCACGCCCCAGGGGCCTTGTGCAGCCCCCGCCAGCACAGCGCGGGGTGGCCAGCCCGGCGCTGCGCCGCGCCGCGCCTGAACGTGCGCCGGTTGATCACGATCTCGTTCCCAGGCACGTAGATCTGGACCTCCCCCGCCCGGCGCGGCGGCAGGTTGCCGAAACACCACCACTCTTTTTTGCCGCTGGTGCGAACCGAGAACACCTCCGTGCACACCGAGCCGTCGTCCCTGCCCCTGGCCGCCAATCGCACGGTGGCGCCGTTGATGAGGTACTTCGGCAGACCGAGTATGCGCAGGCCGCTGAACCGCAGCCGCTTCTGGGGCGGCGACGGCGGGCAGCCCTCCAGGGCGCCCGGCGCCAGGAACATGTCGAAGAAGTGGTGGATGTAGCGCAGCTGGCTTGCTATGGCCACGCCGCGCCCGCTCGTCGAGCGCTTGTCCCCGTAGTACCTGATCACGTCCTCCGGCTTGGCGCACAGCCGCCGCCACAGCAGCAGGCAGCAGATCAGCACGCCGGTGCGGCCCCGCCCCGCCTTGCAGTGCACCACGGCGATGTTCCGCTCGCTGGCGTCCAGCCACGCGCTGGCGTCCTCGCAAAAGCGCTTGATCATGAGAAGCGGCGGCGCCTGCAGGTCCTCGCACGGGTAACGCACCACGTTGCCGCCCAGCTTTGCTGGGTCGTAGGTCTTCTCCGAGCACAGGTTGTACACCCTGAACAGCCCGTCGTGGTAGCGCCTCAGGAACTCCGTGGTCTCAGACATCGGGTTGCGGAACAGCCCCTCCCCGCCCTCCGACGGGTGCCCCATCGCGATTATCCTGTCCGTCACGTACGCCAGGTCCAGGTCGAACCCATCCTCCTGGAACCGCCGGTTGGCCTTTGACACCAACCGCCGTATCAACCGCATAGCTGCCACCCGCCCGCCCTACCAAGCCCTGCAAACCCTTCCCTGCCTCCCGGCCACCAGGCCGTGCTGTCCCGATTGCCCTGGTGCCGCCCTGCCGCCCTTTCACCCAAAATCAACACTGTGGGTGCCGAAAAATGCACGGCAGGGTTCTTAGATAGCGCGGCATGCGCCGCGGGGCAATCTGGGGGGGCGGTTGGTACGTCGCGGCGCGGCCCCTGTCTGCCGCGGTGGGCGGCCGATGGCTGCGCCGCCCTCAGGCACGGAGAGCCGAGACGCCGCGGTGGCCGCGACAGCCGCCGACCCCCCGAAGCGCAGCCTCGCCCGCCTTCCAGTTGAACATCGCGGCAGACAGCGCAAAAGGCACGGCGGGCGGCGCAGGCGCGGGGCGCAAAAGCCATCCTGAGCCGTCCGAGTTGGCGACAGGATGCGTTTAGTCACTCAAGGGGTGGCTGGGGCCCCGAGGCGCGGGGGCCCGTGGCGGACTGGGGAACACCAGGAGGGGGCAATGTACAAGAGGGCCGGGTTGCAGTGGTCCCTGTGTACTGACACAAGGCAAGGGAGGTCCAGGTAGGGAGGTAAAAGATGACGGATGACACCCATATGCCAATGAGCTCACAGGCGCATGTGCTTGCTGCGGCCCCTTGAGCCACAAGCTGCGCCACGACGGCATGACGCCAACCCTCGAAGCCAGGAAGCCGGCGAAGACGGGCCCACAACATGGCCGACACGGCACGGCGGGGGCGCATGCCGCCGGCTGCCAACGCCTTCCATGCGCGGGTGGGCGCCGTCGAGCGCCGCTGCCAGCCGTTCCACGCGGGGCGGGGGCTGTTGCACCTTCCTCATAATGGCCACAAGATGAAGAAGATGATCAAAGATTGACGCAGGGAATTGTTGTGGAGACGGGCTGATCACATCAGGATGTAAAAACGGTCATTTAAAGCATTTGCAGCTGTAGTACTCCACGCGCTTGACCAACAAAGCCAGCAGCGTGTTTTTGCAGTACTCCCCTGCATAGGCTGCGTTCATGATCTATAAAAAGGCAGTAGTACACTTTCCACCATACTCACAGTAGTACTAAGTGGTGGTTAGTGTAAAACTGGGCAGAAAACTGCTGCCCTCGGAACACACTAGATGCTAACTCAAAGAGAGCTTCATGCACATCTTCTATGTGCCGGCATTGGTCAGCCATACACTAGAGGTGGCCACTCAAAGGTGCCATCCGGTCCGTTAAATCCGGTTCGTTAATTTTTATCAGCTGTCCGTTAAATTTCGTTAAAGAAAAAGGGAGAAAAATTCAGAAAAAACAAAAAAATCCAAAAAAAATAAAAAAAACCCCAAAAAATCACAACAATTGCGGCTAGTTGAAAATCTAGTATGCATAGGTTGAAATAAAATACAAACACACTCTCTAATAGCGAATTCCATAAACTATAAGTATGACTAAAACCCAAAAGTCCCCAAACAATCCAAAAATCCGCTAATTTTTGGTTAATTTTTGTTTTTTTTCGTTATTTTCCGTTAATTAACAGAAAATTAACGGAAATTACCCTCTGTCCGCTATTAACGGATCCGGGTGGCCACCTCTACCATACACACCAGGGCATGCTAGCCCTTGGCTAACCCTCCACTTGTAATAGACACCACAGAAATATAGCTTTACTACAGTTTTAAACATGTACATGCAAACTGCCCAACTTCCACACCATAAATCTGTCGGTGCAAGCAAATCAGACCGGGATGGACTAGTTTGACACTCACACACTCTAGCCCCGCAATCAGCAACCTTTCAGGAACCTTCTCACCATAAAAATATGCAACATTCTTTCATGTAAGCACCTACTACATAGTTTCTATGCACACTTATCTAAACGCAGCCCAAGTTACAAACACTCGATGTGAAACATCAAATACATGCAGTAATTTGCATTCTGCATTCAAAAAGCCCCTTGGTAGTCACTGACCCTGCCCTTTGTCATGTGTGAAACACATAGAGGTGGCCACTCAAGATGCCATCCGCTCCGTTATATCCGGTTCGTTAATTTTTATCAGCTGTTCGTTAAATTCCGTTATAAAAAAAGGGAGAAAAATTCAGAAAAAACGAAAAAAATCCAAAAAAATCGAAAAAAAACCCAAAAATCACAACAACTGCGGCTAGTTGAAAATCTAGTATGCATAGGTTGAAATAAAATACAAACATACTCTCTAATAGCGAATTCCATAAACTATAAGCATGAAAAAAACCCAAAAACCCAAAAAATCCAAAAATCCGTTAATTTTTGGGTAATTTCTGTCTTTTTCCGTTATTTTCCGTTAATTAACGGATTAATTAACGGAATTAACCTCTGTCCGCTATTAACGGATCCGGGTGGCCACCTCTAGAAACACACAGCCTCACTTACCTCCTACTCCCGGTCAGACAGAACTGACCTTCGGTGTATCCCCAGTAGCCAGGGCATTAGCCCCCCGTCTGGTACGCACTGTTCGCGTTTACAGGGCAGCCAAGCCGGTTGCCAGTCTCCTCAGACCGAAACACAGACTCACAAGGAGGCAGTGAGAGTCAACAAAGTTCCCCGTTGATCGGTGTTCGTTACAGGGCTATGTTCGACAAAAGGATATGTCCCAGACCATCAACAACCACTTTATACCCCCGCTGGGGTCTCTCCAACTCTCCCTCTTCCCAGTCTGTTACACTATCCCCCCGGACGAGTTACACCAAGAACCCGGTACCTCACACACCGTTCACTATCTACCCTAACTACCCCACTACATAGCACAACTATCCGGTTCACTCTAACCCCTCACTCCGCGGTCCGCGACCGCTTCCACTCCGCGCCAGCCCCCGCGTCCTCCTCACTCAGCCCACGCTTCACCCCTTGCTCCACCTCCACCGTCCGACCCGTGAGGGCTCGCACCCGCCGATCCTCCGGTCCGTTGAACTCTGCCCAGTAGGAGCTCAACCTCCGCAACCCAGCCGCACTGTTCGCCTCATATTCCGCAGTAATCGGTATGTCAAGCCGGACGAGGAGTACCTCCTCGCCGGTATCTTTCTCCAGCTGTGGACCCTGCTTCCGCACCACCTCCGCCCCACGGTACACCAACCATTGTGCGACCGCCTCGAGGTAGGCCTTCCCACTCAGGCTGGCAGCCTGTTCCTCCGCCGAGCACGCTCCAATCTGCTCGGTCACTGGCAGCGATTGCATCCCGTCGCGGCGCACAGCCCGATCCTTGAGATCGGGCGGGTTGGGGCCTTCCAATTGCACCGCCACGTGCCCACATTCTGGGCTGAGTGTATCCCCCTCGGCATCGCCCCCTTCGCGCCTTCCTTCTCTACCGTTCTGCCCTCCAACTTGGCTGTCATGGGCCCTTTGTGGTATAAACTACAGGGGGTAGTTAATGTTTCTCTATATGGGATATGGAAAATGGAATATATAATGATTATGGTATTTTATGTGAAAGTAGACTCTGTTAGGAGTTCATAGGTTTTTGAACCACCCTAATGGGCTTAGCGGTTGAGGAGATATGGTTAGCTGAATATCTAGTACTTTAAGGCCCTCTCCTGGACCGTATTGGGGGATGAGATACTATCGCTGGACATGATACGATACGGTGCGCTGCATTGTCACATGACATATGCTGGTGGCCGCGCCAAAAGGGTGACCACCTGACGCAGTACTGTAACAGTTGTTTCCGCTGTCTTGTGCCTCCCAGCGGCTGCACCCACAAGCCGCACGGCGCCGCGCACCCACCGTGCGCACAGCCGCCCCACGCCCGGCCATCCCTGCGGCCTGGGCCCACGCTGCATACCCGAAGACACGAGCACCCTGGAAAGCCCGCCGGCAATCCGGCGGAGGAGGCCCCGCGGCCTCATTGGACGCTTCGGCGGGCGCCATCGCCCGCATCGAACCGAAAATCACGCCAGGTGGTTTCGGAGCCGGTGGACGCGGAGAGCGGAAGTGCGCCACGTGGTGCATGAGAGCCGAGGGGACCCGGCCCGACGGCGGGAGAGTCCCCCATTCGCGAGACATCCAAGGAGGACGGCCGGCCAGGTGGGCGCCTCGCGGCACCGCCTGAATCGGCGAGGGGATCCGAACCGGACCGAGTGCCTGGCCCTAAGGAGGGGGGCACATTCTGCTGCTTCTCGTGCCTAGCCCGATGGCAGGGGGCGTTGGCTTGTGAATCCGCGCGCCGAGCTCGATGGCGGGAGGCGCATTCCGCAGGAATTGACCACCGGATCGGGGAATCGGAGGACACCGCTTGTGCGGGGCATCCGGGCCCGGCGGCGGGGGTTGCGATCCGCGGACCCGTGCGGTGAATCGGCGGCGGGGGACGCAGGCCGGTGGGTACTAGACCCGTGGAGGGGCGTAGAGAGCAGAGTGAATGGGTGGAGGCAGCACCCGGGTTCACGGGGGTCGACGCAGGTGTGACTGGACCCCTCCGAGTGACGTGACGGGGGGAAGCTATGGGAATCCGCCCGCGCCGTGTACTGCCGGTGGGGGGGGTCCCGAGTAGCGACCTCCGAGAGGGGGCCGGCACTGAGTAGCGACCTGCCAGGCCCTGCAAGTGAAATGTGCCTCGTCTTGTGACTCTGCATCGTACTGGATCCGGGGGGATGGTGATTCCCCACTCCAAGAAGCCTCCTGGGAAGTTTTTGCCTACATCAGCACTCTACAAGAGTAGCTCAGAGGTCCATAGACCCTCTCAGTGGGTGGAGAGCGGTTATCTACATCGAACTTGGAGTAGTTGAGGGGTCCACGAAACCTCTCAACGGGTGGAGAGCAGCTATTAGCGACTCGACTGGAGTAGCTGGGGGGACTATTTGCCCCTCAGCAGGTGGAGAGCAACTTCCTAGAGGACTCTACTGGAGTAGCTGAGGGGGTTGATTGCCTCTCAGCGGGTGGAGAGCAGTTCCCAGCGACTGGAGCCAACAACCCCTATGTCCGCCCTACGACGTATTGCGGAGTACGACAGCTCTCCAAGAGGCTCAGTAGGGTGCCTGAACA